CCGCACCACTATGCCCTTACCCTCTTGCAGCCCTGGCCATTGCTGACCCAATAACAGCTGCAGCCCAAGCCCCCAACAGGTGGATCCCTGAGGCCCTGGCTCCCCTCAGGACCCACCTTCCAGTCTGGAACATCCTTCATAATGATGGCCTCCTCCTCTAGGTTCTCCCGCAACATCTGTAGGATCCTGTGGGGTGGCGTGGGGGATGGGACCAAGCAGGACCTGCACCCCAGGTCCCACCCCTGCTGCAGCCCCTCCTGGCTCTTATTCCTGGCTTTGCACGTGTTGTTTCCTCTCACTGTGTCCCCTTTCCAGAGCCCTGAAAATAAGTACTTGTCTCCTTGCCTCACCCTCAATGCCCCCCACCCTGGAAGCCTTCCCTATGCTTCCCTCAGAGTAAGTCACCACCCTCCAGGCAGTGAAGGGGCTTGGCTGCCCCCCTTGGCTGCACTGGGCTGGACCCCCTGCAGATCCTACCTCCGGTCCTTCTCTGCCTGAAAAAGTGGCATCAGCGCGATGCGAGCCTCCAGGTCCTCAATCTGCAGGCGCCTGCAGAACCCAGACACAATCAGCCATGGCTGGGGTGCAGGGGGACAGCCATGGACATCCTGCTCCCCAGGGTGATGCTCAAGAGGCACAGAGCTGAGGCAGGACTGTCCCCCTGGGGGTGGCCATAGGCAAGGGAGTGTGTGGGGTGAAGAGGAGTCGCAGGGGGTGGTAGGTGGGGCTCCTGAGGGTGGCACAGGCATCTGTCCATGAGACTTTGGTTTCACACCACCTTTTCAATTAAAAACTTTTTTTTTTGAATTCTGAAATTAGCTTGGCCTGACGATGAAACAGGGAGGGAGAGAAGTCCTCAGGGCTCCAGGCTTTGCGAGATCAAGCCCCCATCTCTAAAGAACCAAGTGTAAGAGTTCGGCTGGCCCTCAGCACCACTGTGGGGCCCTTCTCCCTCTTCCTGGAGCTTTCCACACTTTTTTATATGATTTTATTATTAATTTTTATTGTGATTTGGGGGAAAGTTTACAGAGCAAATACATTTTCCATACAGCAGTTCATACACATTTTGTTTCATGACACTGACTGCAGTTCCCCACAGTGTGACAGCTTTGTTCCTACTTGCTCCCTCGTAGTTACCTCTTCCCTGTGTCTTTCTTTCCTATGCATTCCTGCCCTCCTCAAGCTATCTCCTTGTGCAATTACTGCCCTGCTGCTCTCCCATGATTGATCCTTCTAAGGAGTGTATCCACTCAATGGCAATGTTTACCCCATATGCCTGCCTATTGTTTGGCTGGAAGCCATGGGAGTGAGTTCAATTCCAGAGCTGCAGAGTAACTAGGGACCACAGTCTTGGGGGTCTCACCAGGCTCTATCAGACCACTAAAGCTGGCCTATTTTATGATTTTTTAGTTTTGTTCCACACTGTTCTCCCACTGGAGCTTTCCACACTTCCTGCAGTGAGCTCATTCATGTTGCAGAGGGAGGAAGGCACCAGCAGGTGTAAGGATAAGAGACAGGTGAGCAGGGGCCAGGACAGACTGCAATCACTGTGGGTTGACAAGTCCAATGGACTTCAGCCCCCGGGGCCCCGACTCTCCCACAGGCTGCCCCTTCTACCTCCCCACAGGCAACCCTGCTCGTTGTAGTGGCACTGCAGGTCCCATAGGTCCTGTGGTGGCTGTGTCACAAGGCTGGGCAGGGCTCACTCCTAGAGCCCTGCTCTCCCTCCAGTTACTGCTCGCTCTCCCTGTGCTAGCCTCCTGAGCACGGCCCCAGGGTTCCAGCCTTGTGGGGCAAATTCAGAGCATACCACCGGGACTGCCGTGACATGGGCAGAGTGGGTGGGGGGGCCAGGTCCCCAGTCCTGTGTGGTGGGCTCAGGTTTTTACTGCGCTGTTTGTCCTGGCGCTGATACCTGCTCTCTCAGCCTGGCAGAGGTCCAGCCAACCCTCTAGCTGCTCTGCCCAGAGATGGGGCAGCCTGTTCCTAGCCTGCACTCAGGGGCCCCCACCCCACCTCCCCGCATACACTGCCCTCCCTGCCTTTCCCCAGGCAGCCCTCCCTGTGGATGTCCTCAGATGCCCCATGCGCCTACCTGCGCTCACGGTTCCACTTCATCATGCTCCAGTACCCGAAGAACAGGGCCCCGATGCCCACGGCAAACATGCTGTAGCCTGCAGAGAGGGATGGCAGCTCTGTCCTGGGTTCATGGACCATGCATGGCCAGACCCCATTGTCGTGCAGCGAATTACTGGCTGTGGCTCTTCTAACCATGGTCCTTACGACTCCTACCAGATGACTATGCAAATGTAAAGTGCCTGTGGCCCACCAAAGGGACTGAATAGCTTGTTAATAATGTAAATAAGGTACATGGTTCCTTCATGTGAGTGGGACAATGCAAATAAGGTGTACGGAACCCTGATGTGGGGACTGGTCAGCTTTTGCCATTCTGCTAGGCTTAAAACAATCTGTCCCAGAGGCAGAAAGAGGGGGAAACTCACTACCATCAAGAAAGAAAAGCCAGGATCAGAATTCCCAGGTGTATAGTAGAGCTGACAAGGGGCAAGGTTATGGTCATTACTTGGTCACAGCCAGCTACCCAGAGGGACCGAGTAGTTGATCCTGCGGGCTTGGGACCATAGTCGCAGGGGACATCAAGCTCAATTGGCATAACATACTATACAAAACATTGTTCCACCTACTACTTTGGCGAGTAGCAACTGGGACCTTAAAAGCTAGGAAGCTGCCATCTAGATGCAACAACGGGTCTTTCCTCGTCAAGAAGAAAGAAGAAAACCAAAATTAATGGAAACAATCAGTCCTAGCGACTGGTACACCATCCGATCTGCAACCTATACAACTATGAGACCAGAAGAACTAGATGGTGCCCAGCTACCACTGCCATCCACTTGGAAGGGATGTAGGAGATCCTGCATAAAGAGGGAGAACAATGTGGTACAAAACTCAAAATCATTTGGAGGCAAAAAAAAAAAGAAGGTGGGGACCAGGTTTGCTGGTCCAATAGAGCCTGGTGTAACCACTGAGACTATGGCCCCTAGCTGCCCTTCAGGTCTGGAATTGAACCTACAACTGTGGTTTCCAGCCAAACAAAGTACAGGCATGTGAGTTAAACATTTACCTCAAGTAGACACACGCCCTGGAGAAAACAATCATGGGAGAAGGAAGGGCTGCTTATGCACAGGGAGATAGCTCAGGGTGCAGAAGAGTATGAAGGGATGGACACTGGGAGGAGGTAACTATGGGGAGGAAGTGGGAGGGGAGCTGCTGCATTGTAAATTTTGGTCAATGACATGAGACAAAGTGTATGTGAACTGCTGTATGAAAAGTGAATTTACTCTGTAAATCTTCACCCAAATCCTAATAAAAAAGAAAAGCCAGGAGTAAAGCATGTCCTTTGGGCCCAAGACCCCTGCATTGAACTTCCTTGACCCAGAAGAGCTGTTAACACTGCTGAGATGGCAAGACGGCAGCAGGGAAACCACAGAACAGAGGCAGCAGAACCAAGAGACCAGCATAAGATGGGTGGTGGGCTTCCCCACCCACTGAGTGAGAATGCTGAATGCCTCTGAGCAAGAGGCTTGCTGACGGAGTGGGGTGCCACTCTGGGCACCTACCTGCAGCACTGAGAGAGCTTTGTAACATTTGCCCAAGCAGGGAAGAGGCCAATGGGCCGCAGGGTTAAGAGCTTGAGTCCAGAGAGGTGTGGCTGTAACATGGCTGAGAAAAAGCTGTCTTGATGGAAGATCTGTATCCTGAGTTGTTTCTGATCCTAAATGGTAACCTGTTATTTCCCTAATAAACCCCATAATCCTGAGTACTGTCTTTGAGTTCTGTATGGCCACTGCAATGAATTATCAAACCCAGCAGAGAAGTACAGAGTGCGTGGGAGGGATGGTTGGTGTCAGCACTGGTAAAAAGGTTGGCGGGTGGTGGCATGTCTGGCCTCTGCCTCACAGGAGCCAGCCATGGGCTGTTGACGCTGATGGGATCCTTCTCCCCCTTTGGAACAAAGAGAAAGCCAGGTGCCGTCCTCACACCTTCTGCACACAGGACCTCTCACAAACCCCATCAGGATACTTCCTCACGTCTACCATGGCTGCCTGCCCCTACTTTGGACCCTGTCCCCCTCAGCACAGCGCCCCTTCCTCTCTCCAGCACCCTCAGGCCCTGTGCATGTCTGGCATTTGGTGCTGGAGCACCAGGCTGCCACACCCCTGTCCTGTGCCAGGGTTTCTAGAAGGTGCAGCCTCTCAGGGCCTGCAGGGGGCTCAGGGGGTCTAGATGTTTGCAGTTGGGTGCCCCTCTATCCTCTAGAAGGTCATCCTGCCCCTGGTCAGAAGGCCATTCCCCATGGGAGAGCAACTCTGACAGTCCCCTTCGCCACTCTAGCTCCAAGCAGCCTCAGCTCCGTGGGCTCCCTCTGCACTCTACCCACAGGGGGCTGCCTGGCGAATCCAGAGGCATTTGGTGCCCTGCAGGGGCTGCCCCAACCCAGTGGGGATTGGGGCTGCAGGGCTGAGCCACCTGCCCTGCACACTGGGGGGCAGTGGCTTCCATGACTATTTATAAGCACCAGCAGGCACTAATCCTGATGGACAGCTGGGCTGTCACAGGTGTTAGGAGGAATCAATGGGCTCAGGCAATTGGGCTTTAGGTCTGGTGCCCTCGAGCTGACTCGACTCCAGGTGCATGTGAGCAGATCTGTGCTCCAGTGGGCTTTCTATGGCTGTTTTCCAAAAACAGACCACCAGGCCTTTCTTCCGAGGTGCCTCTCAGTAGCCTCATCCCTCCAACCTTTCAAGGTGATAGCTGAGTGCGTTAGCCGTTGCACCACCCAGGGCCTTCACGCTTCAGTGATCACCCAGTAAAAGACCAGCTAACATTGGGTGAAGCCATACCTGGGCCCATGGCACTCAGGGCACCAGAGCGGCTTTCCCTGCCAGTGCGGGGCTTCCAGAATCCTGGCCCATAAGGACTGTCCCTCTCGGCCTTCCCATCTTGGCTTTGGCAAGGTGTGGAGTGGGACATGAAGGAGAGAGCCCTCACGCTTGCCTGCTGCACGCTCAAGATAAGGCAGTTCTATTTTACAAGGGGCAGAATCACCAGGTGCCCAGGCCTTGTGCTCCGAGGCAGGATTCCAGTCTGAGCCTCCCAAGAGACCCTGCATGTTCAGGGCTGGGCTGGCACACATAAGCTCCCCCAGCCCCCAACACACACACAGTGTTTTCCTTAAGCCTGGATGTTCTCCCATGAGAGGAGAGTTTCTGGATTAGAGCTGCCTCATTCCAGGGATGAGGGAGCTCGCCTTTAACAGCCCTGTGGGCAGACAACGAGTGCCCAGTCTTCTAGAGATCCTCTACCCAGGCACCCTTGTGAGCCTGGCATAAGATAAATTCCAAGATGGCCTTTAGGGCACTGCGGCAGGACCCAGCATGTCTGCATGAAGTCCCCGCAGGCTCTCACTTACCTCTTCACTGGCTGAAGAAACTGGGCTCCCTGGAGGCTATCTATCAGCCTTGGGAGCTGCCAGTATGGTGGGGGCAATGGGTGAGGGGCACACACTGTAGGGCATGAGGACCCCCCAAAGAGCTACATAAATGGAAAGGGGTCAGTACTCCTCGAGTGACCTAAAGAGTCAATGTGATCCCTGCCAGAACCGCAGCTTTCCTGTTTGCAGAAAAGTGACAAGCATATCATAAACTTCATATGGAACTGCAAACCATAAAAAAACCAAACTCACTGCCATGGAGTCAACTCTGATTCATAGTGACCCAACAAGATAAGGTAGAGCTGCCCTAAAGAGTTTAATTTTTCTCCTGTGGAGTGGCTACTGGGTTCAAATGGCCAAGTGATTAACCATTGTGCCATCAGGGCTCCTGGAACTGCAAGAGACCAAGAACAGCCAAAAGGCTCTCGAAGAAGAACAAAGTTGGGGGGTTCCCACTTCATGGTCTCAAAACTTATCACACAGCTGCAAAAGTCAAGACAGCATGGCCCGGGAGTAAGAACAGACATGCGGATCCATGGAGCAGAACTGGGAGTCCAGAAACAAACCATCCATTTACAGTCAATTGATTCTGGTCAAAGGTGCCAAGTCCATTCAATGGGGAAAGAACAGGCTTTTCAACAAATGGGACAACTGGAACTCCACGTGCAAAAGAATGAAGAAAATGCAAGGGTAGAGCTTCATCAGTTGGGATTTGCAATTGTCTCTAAGACACCACACCAAAAACATAGGTGATAAGAGGAAGAAACAGACGCACTGCACGCCATCAAAATGAAAAACGTTTGCATTGCAAATTATCACCTAGGAAGTGAGAAGGACCCCAGAAAGGCGGAAGGTATTTGCAAATCATACACCTGACCAGGGAAGAAAGATACACAAATGGCCAATACAAACACGAAAAAATGATCACTGTCCTTAGTCATGAGAGAAATACAAATCAGAACCCCAATGAGATTCTACTTCACACCCACTAGGATGGCTCCGAGCAAAAAGGCAGATAACAACAAGCGTTGAGGAGGTGAGGAGCTGGAACCCTCATGCCACACAGCAAGAGCTGTGGGAACTGGCCGGTCCTCTAAACGCAGAGTAACCGTAAGATCCAGCAGTTCCACTCCTCGGTACATACCCATGAGAAATGAAAATGTAAGTGCACAGAAATACTTATGGACATATGTTCACAGTAGCATTATTCATGTCCACCACAAACAAAATGTATCCATGCAGTGGGGCCACATACTGTGTCATGCATTCCTATGAAATGTCCAGCACAGGTAAATCCACAGACAGAAAGTGGATTCATGATGGTGGTGGTGGTTGGGGGGAGGGCCCTAGGGCGCAGCTGCAAATGGGCACAGGGATTCTTCTTGAGGGGATGAAAATGTTCAAGAACAGATTGTGGGAATGGCTGCACATATCTGTGAATGTACTCAAAACCACTGAAGTGTATACTTGAAATGGGTGAATTATATGGCATGTGAAATGTATTTCAATAAAAATGTTAAAGATACAAAAATAAGAAAGGGACCCCCAGCCCAGAGGAAGAAGTGGAGAGCATCGGGGTGAAAGACAGGAGTGGAAAACAGAGGGAAGTCACTTCAGAGCACTGTGGATTAAAGGAAGACGCCTGCATAGTCTGGCATATTTTGGTGGCCGGTGGGGAGTAAGGGTCAGGCTCAGGGCCACAGGCCTTGGACAGGAAATGGGAGGGTGGGCTGATGGAAGGAGGAAGGCTGCAGGGATGGAGAACACGCCTTTGTACCTGCTGTGCCCTCCTCCCTAGGGGGGCCTCCAGAGAGGAGCTCCCTGCCACGCCGGCTAACACAGGCTCCCTTATTCTCACAACTGGAAACTCCTGTGCGATGTTATCTGTGTTACCTGTCTCCTTAGCTCGGCTATGAGCCAACTGTGGCAAGGCCTTGGTCTAAACAGGGCTACACAGGGGCAGATGGGTGATGGGGTCCTGGGCAAGTCACCTTCTCATAAACAAAGACCACACCACCAGAAGGGGTATCCTTCTCACTGCTCACAGCCTGGAAAGACCCAGGTAGCTTTGCAGGTACTACAGGAAAAGTCGGTTCACTGCCATGTCAGGAACTCAGGAAGTCCAGGGTAAAAAACACAGTTGCAATTTAAAAATAAAAACAGGAGATGTGGACTGGGGGGAGCAGGGAGCCTACAGGTCTGGGTCCAGGTCACACAGGTGTACATGTGCAGACAGACATTCGGATACACACCTGAGGGGGTACAATGGGCTGGGTGCTGAGTTATATCTAGATAAAAGAAATGGGGAGACTCTCATCACATTGTAAGGAGTGCTGGTGGCCAAAGGTTAAGTGCTCATCTGGTTAACAGAAAGGCTGACAGTCTGAAACTACGAAGTGGTTCAGCGGGAGAAAGACCTGGCTGTCTGTCCTTGTAAAGATTATAGCCTAGAAAACCTTTTGGGGTAGTTCTACTCTGTCACACAGGGTCACTATGAGTGAAATTGACTGGATGACACCTAACAACATCACGTCATAACCCATCAACCTGTTCCAGGACTGGAATCTTGGGCATACTAGTGCCCCTGGGTCAAATAAACCCGGCAGCCTGGTTTTGTGTGCCCCTCATCCTAAGAACATTTTTACATCTGTAAAAGGTAGTAAAAAGGTAACAGAGACAAAGACTCTTGTGGCCCGTCAGCAAAGCTTAAAACATTTACAATATGGCCCTTCAAAGAGAAAGTTTGCCCACCCATTCTAGGATACAAAAAACCAAGATGGAATGGGGCTGGGAGAAGCCCTCAGTTTTCTCCTGTCTGAAATTTTTTTTTACCACGCCCACAAATTCCTTTCCCTTTGTTTAAATTTAGGCATAATTTGCATACAACTACGTGATGAGTTTCAGCAACCGTATTCACTCTTCAATTGTTTTACATTTTATATTTAACTCCGAAAGTGGATGTTTTTTATTTTCTCTTTCACCTTTTTCTGTGTTGAACCAACTGTAAAATATTATTTAAAGCATTTGAAAATTTCAAAATTTACAGATTCCTGGATCACCTTTCATATGGGGAATGTCCCAGCAAGGAGCCACCGCACAGGTCATCCTCCGGGTTTCGGCCCAGGTTCACCCGGCAGCCTCTCTCCAGCCAGTTTCCCCACCTGGGAAAACCGCGTAAGGCCAAGGGCCAAGGGCAAGCCACCTTCAGTTTACCCTTTGTAACATGGGTGTATTTAAGCGAACTGTAACGGGACCGACCTTCTAAGCTGTTACGAAAAGGTAGCAAATTATTGTGAGGTGCCATCCAATCGGTTCCGACTCATAGCGACCCTACGTACAACAGAAGGAAACACTGCCCGGTCCTGCGCAATCCTCAGCAAGTCGTGGCACTTAAAATTACTGGTATTACTTAAGCTATCGCGGGGATCGCGGGACTCCGTCTCCCGGCACACAACCGGGGACACTGAGGCCCGCTTGTCATCCCACCCCTGCTGCAGCGGCCCCAGGGCCCCAGACCCTGACAGCTCAGCGCAAGGCAACACTGACCCGACAGTCCCCGACGTGGCAAGTTCCGCTTGTAGTCGATGGGGCCGTAGCCCCCTGGAGGAGGCATGTCCTGCTTCACCTTCGACGCCGCCATGCTTGCGGAGTTTTCCACTTCCGCTCGTGGGCGGAAATTACGCACAGGCCGGCGCCGCCACCATGATGAATGTGGCGGAAGTCCGGAGCAGTTTCCGACCCAGCTGGAGAGCTCGTGTAGCCTCCCGACGGCGCGAAACTTGGGTCGGGCAGCGCGACCGATGAGTGCTTATTTCCTCATGTCCCAGACGGCGCGTTGGGGCATCCTTGTCACTAAAGGACCTGGTGTTCAGCTTCCCTCAGGCGGGCAGCGTACTGTAAGGAACCTCGAGCCTGCATCCCGCCACCCCGCGCCGTCGGGAGGCGTCAGGTCCAAGGCGAGGCCCATTCCTCTTTTTCACCACTACGGGGTAGCCCAGGACTACAAGTGGCTATAGGCTGGTTACATAGAGTGAGAGGAGGATTGGTTACTAACCCCGGTCGGACTGACGAGGAGGCGCCGCGACTCCAGGCGCGAATTCCGCTCCTCGGCGTGGTCAGGACACCCGGCTGGGGACCCCTTCTCGGGAACTGGGCCTTTCGGCCTATTATGAGCCACAGAGCATGAGGGGCTTGGGCGCCTGCGGGTCGAGGTCCAGGGAGCTCCCCCACCCCGAGGCGGGGTGACGCCTGCGGTCACTTCACAAGGCAGAAATTGTTACCTCGGCAATAAAAGGCACCGCGGCAGCGGGGGCCTGGGAGTGGGCACATGGGGGTGCGGGGGTGCCAAGCGCCATGGGTTAGGCCCGAGATCGGAGTCCAGCCGCGCCCCGACAGCAGTCGCCTCCTACTCCCCACGCGCCCCGGGCGCCACCATGTCGGGCGACAAACTCCTGAGCGAGCTCGGCTATAAGCTGGGCCGCACGATCGGAGAGGGTAGCTACTCCAAGGTGAAGGTGGCCACGTCCAAAAAGTACAAGGGCACGGTGGCCATCAAGGTAGTGGACCGGCGGCGCGCACCGCCCGACTTCGTCAACAAGTTCCTGCCGCGCGAGCTGTCCATCCTGAGGGGTGTGCGGCACCCGCACATCGTGCACGTCTTTGAGTTCATCGAGGTGTGCAACGGGAAGCTGTACATCGTAATGGAGGCGGCCGCCACCGACCTGCTGCAGGCGGTGCAGCGTAGCGGGCGCATCCCGGGCGCGCAGGCGCGAGACCTCTTCGCGCAGATTGCCGGCGCCGTGCGCTACCTGCACGACCACCACCTGGTACACCGCGACCTGAAGTGCGAGAACGTGCTGCTCAGTCCAGACGAGCGCCGCGTCAAGCTCACCGACTTCGGCTTTGGCCGCCAGGCGCACGGCTATCCCGACCTGAGCACCACCTATTGCGGCTCGGCGGCCTATGCGTCGCCCGAGGTGCTACTGGGCATCCCCTACGATCCCAAGAAGTACGATGTGTGGAGCCTGGGAGTTGTGCTCTACGTCATGGTCACCGGGTGCATGCCCTTCGACGATTCGGACATCTCCGGCTTGCCTCGGCGTCAGAAGCGCGGCGTGCTTTACCCCGAAGGGATCGAGCTGCCCGAACGCTGCAAGGCCCTGATCACCGAGCTGCTGCAGTTCAGCCCGTCGGCCCGGCCCTCGGCCGGGCAGGTAGCGCGCAATGGCTGGCTGCGGGCGGGGGACTCCGGCTAACGGCTGGGGTTCCTGCTATTCGCACCACCCCGGCATTGCGGGCGCATGACGGGCCGGCGAAGCTGCCGCGTGCCACTGCGCACGCGCCATTCCTCTTCCCTCTCCCAGACGGCTACGAAGAGAGAACCTCCTGCTCGGCCGCGATCCCCAAAAGCGGGAGGGGCGTACGCGGCCCCGGCTCCCTGCGTGAAGGCCCGGGAGGGGGCAGGGTGCGAGGAGCAGGAGGCAGTGCGCCTGCGCGGAACGAGCGACGGCTGCGGAGCTAGCGGAGCCGCGTGCGTGGAGTCCATCCGAGTTCTGCGGTGGGCGCCAGAGGGGCGCGGGCGCCGTGCCCAGCCCCCCCGGATCTGCAATAAAGTCGCTCTTCCTCGCATCTGGCTCTGGATGTGGCCCCTTTTCTGGGTAAAGGGGGGTCGCTCCCCTAGCGGGAAGACAGGTGTGGGCGACCCATTTTTGAGACAGATAAGTTGAGGCTTCTGCTCTGGGCCTCAAAGGGGAATTGAGTTCAAACGCAGCTCAGTGGGCTCTGAGATCTTTATAGCTATCAAGATGGGAGTGGTCATGGGAATGGGGATATTGGGCTGGGAGCTCACCGTTCAGAAGGAGAGGGAGGGGTACTTGTCGCAGTGTGGACCGAGCCTTTACAGGTGAGCAAACAGGCTCACATAGCTGTTACTTCCCCGAGAACACAGCTGGGATTTGAACCCTGTCTGTGGGAAGCGGAGCAGTGAGAGCTGCTCCCTGCAGCCTAGAGGGAGAGTTGAGGGTAGGAGCTGTATTTGGGTCAGTCTTGGTTCACCCGTGTATTCATTCGCCAGGCTTTAGACTCAGCAAAGCGGTTTGGAGCCACCTGAAAGAGGCAGGTGGGCAGTTAAAGGAAAGACCTGGAATAAGATGATTCTACATTGTGTAAAACTGGGGCTCGTGGAAGTCCAGGGAGGGACCAGAGCAATGACATTTGAGCTGAGCCCTGGAGGAACTAGCCTGGGACAGGTGGAGGGAGAGAAAATGGAGAAATGGCTTGGGTGTACAGGGCCTGTCTGGGGAAGTTTGGGTTTAATTTTTGCTGAGAAACGCCTACTGGGTTTGGTCACAGCGGTTGTCTGGGGTGTATGACAAATATCTCCTTAACCCTAAACCCTCCTACCTCCTCCATCTGAGCCCTGCACAGTCCCCTGGGGAGCTACTGGACTTGCTGGTTGGCCATGTTCTACTCCTTAGCCGCCCCCCATGGCTCCTAGGGGCCCTGGAGATGGAGTGCCAACTCCCCTCCTCCCTAAAAATTTTAGGTTGTGGTCCTCCGCCCCATTTTGCAGGTCTCTGCTGCTGAGTAGGGGCAGACCTTGCCCTCCTCCCATCCTGCCTGAATCTCAGAGCAGACACAGAAAACTGGACTCCTATCCAGATCTGAGTCCCTGGGTGACACAGAGTTAAGCTCTCAGCTACTAACTGAAAGATTAGTGGTTCAAACACACTCAGGCACCTTGGAAGAAAGGCCTAGTGATCTGCTGCTGAAAAGTCACAGCTTTGAAAGCCCTATGGAGCAATTCTGCTCTACACACATGGGTCACTGTAAATAGGTACTGACTTGACAGCAGATGGTTTGGTTTTCCTCTGGATCTGGGCCCTGTCTTGTGGTCCTCACCTGGAAATGGCAAGAACCTGATCTCTGGGCTGTTGGGTGGGGTTCTGGCTCACTAGAGACTCAACAAGAGCCAGAGGGACACCCTGCCCCTGCCTGGACCTCCTGAGCCCCTACCGTCCCCACACACAGAATAAAACATTCTTTTCTTTCCCAGTCCAGCAACACCTCCTCGCTGTTTGTCCACAGATCGTGAGTGGTCTCACCTCACCGAGCCTGGCTGTCCTCACTCCCTGTAACACATCCCTAACTTCTAGAGTTGGCTACAAACATGACTCCCCCAACACTCTACTTTCCCTCCTTGTCACCATCACAAGGTGTGATGTTTCCATCTGTTGTCACTGCCCTGTCCCCAGCACCCAGGCCCTTTTTTCTCTGTCCATATCTGCTACTGCTTGTGAGCAGAGAGGCTGGGATGTTAAAGGAGATGAGGTCCCAGGGACTAGGGATGGTGTCCTATTTTGTAGGTGGAGATGCTGTGGCCCAGAGTGGGCAGCCTACTGGAGACATGGCCCACACTTGCCCCAGGATCTGTGCTGGTCTCTGCGGAGTGTGGTGCCTGAACAGGTTAAGTTCAGGACTCACATTCATCCTCAGGAAGAATAAGTGATGTCACAGGGCTGAGCCCCCAGAAAGCACCCCATAAACAGAACTGGAGAGACTTGGGTATTGTTTCTGCTGTGTCTTTGTCCATCTCTCTGCACCTGTCTGTAAAATGGGGCAATTCTTGGTTTCCACACAAGACCATGCAGGGCAGGGGGTGCTGGCAGCCCTGAGGCCTCAAGAACCAGCAAAAAAGTCAATGGGGTTACATTTTATGCCCCATGGAATTAGTCACAGTTCTCATGAAAAAAAATTGGGAAGTATCTAAATCTGAACTTTTCATGAGGAATTGCTCATGTCAGCGCTGGCTCTGTGCCTGGGACATTTTCTGATGTCTGCATGACTCCTCTGCTTGGAATACACATCTACGACTTTATACCCTATAGCAATGGCTCCCAAGGTGATGCCTAGCCTAGAAAGTTCCAGAAAACTCCATCCTTCTGGTTGGAAGTTTCATTCTAAGGGTCCCAGAGAAGAGAGAGGCATAGGCAAGGCCGTGGGTCCATGGTTGCCCATCCAGGAAGAATTCCTCGGCCACCCTCCTGTATCCCTTTCTCCAGGTTTCCGCGTTTTCGGGAAAATGAAAGAGTACAGCCAACATAGGGTCCATTACTTTATTGTCCTTCAGATTCTAGAATTGTCTCATGACACAACACACAGTTATCGGTTCCACCATCTTCGTTTATTGGAACTGTTGATTCTGGTTTGGTGCCAAACATTTTTTTTTTTTTTTTTAACATGTTTGTTAAGAAAGATTCAGTCACAATAAATACAAGTGACAGCCTCCCGTCAAGGCCCCCAAATACCCTGCACTTTCTGTTAAAGGAATAGAAAAGTTGCTTGCTGTTGTTTTTAAAAAGCTCAGTCCAAGTTATTTAGGCAACATCCTGTACAGCATAGCTCGGCATTAAAGAAAAACTGTGAGGCAGCACAGCAAGGCTCACCTTTACATCCCTATGGAGCAGGTATTTATATATGTATACAGAAAACTCCTCCTTGCACATCTCCATACAATAGGAGAGCTGTGTGTGGGTCTAAAAGATTCCTGAGGGGACCAGGAGCCACAGGATACAGTGGGATCCGAGTCACCTCTCATCCCGTCCTGGGAATACAGATAGGACCTAATGTAGCTCCCACTACTCATGACCTTATCAAAGGTAAGTTTTCTGGTATTAGGATACTGCTGACTAGGACTCTGTGATGAGGCCAGGATAGTGAGAGACATGGGAGCTCCAAGTGAATACATGTGTATCCATGTATATGTTATTCATGTACACACATGGACACTCTTGTACATGCCCCCCCAACCCAATTAACCTAGGTGAGAAAGGAATTTTGCTCAAATAGCACGGCAATACTTCTAAGTTTCCAGTTGCCGCCAGGGGTTTGCGATAGGTGATTTTGGGACCGTTACAGTCGTCGGTCTCTTGTCATTATGGGCTCCCACATCCTTGCAGCTCCTGGGGACTGCAAGGACCATAGTGATCTTGAGGGGTGAAGCTCTGAGCTGATGGTTGACACCTGTAATGCTAATCAATGCCCTTCCCAATGGCTTGTTCAAACCCCTGCCCAGAGAGGTATTTAATGTCTTGTCCTATAAGATCATAAATTTAATCACAGAACCACCCGTGATTTGGGGCTTTTTACAATACAAATTACACTGCAAAGGGGAACGAAGAGAAAAAGGGGGTAGGAATTTCAAGGTAGTAGAAATAAACTAAAGATTAAGGCGTCATACATTCTTGCCCCTTTAAAAAAAAGCTACCGTAAGTCACAGTATGTCATCCCTGATGAGTGGCTGAGGGGGTGGAGGGCAAGAGCCAGGCCGCCAGGCCACCCGTCCACCCGTCCCTCTGCCTGAGACACCCCTTGCCTTGCGGGGTCAGTTTGTACTGAACTCACGAGGTCTGTCCAAGCCCAAGCCCAGGAGCAATGTCCTATGGGCATGGAGTGACAGTTCCTGAGCACAATGGAGGAAGTGAGGTTCTGATGGGGCTGGCAGCCCTCATCACGGACCCAGGGAGCATACTTTCCGGCCGGATGCCACCACCAGTGCTGGGTGCTGCAGCCTGGTGCCAAGCCGCTTCTCTGCATAGTGTGAGGTTGCTTGTTCCCACGGAGGGCAGCTGGGCACTCCTTCTCAGAGGACTCGGAGCATCTGGCCCATGGTGTGAACAGAGAGGGCCAACAGCTCAGGGTCGTATAAGATAGGTATTTATTTGCCAGGCACACAGAAAAATGCGAGGAATAGAAACGCTTGCATACTCTTGATTTTCAGGTGTAAAAACACACCCTTTCTCCCCTCCTGAATGTTGACGTCCCTCCTCTCCCCCGAGCCCCTAGAGCTTGGGAGGAAGGCCACCCTCTCCCGCCCTCCCCTCCTTGGCCCATCAAAGTAATGTGCTCTCAAAACAAAAACCAAATTGAGATATTTGGAGTTGTACACAACAAAAAATTAGAACCTTTTGTAAAACTAGGTCTCTTACTACTGTCAAAAATGTTTCCTAAACACTGGTATTATTCATACAACATGAGAAACGGGGGTTACATGAGCTTTTATTACAGTAATAGTTGTCTGAAAGAGGGGGCTCTGTAAAAGTAAGGGTTTAAATTATGCCTCCAGCTGGAGCCAGGCACAGACCAGGGTTGGGCTGCCCTTGCCAGGAGGCTGTGCACAACAAACATGGGGCTTCACTTCTCCCTGTGGAGCCTGGCTTTAAAGAGCAGGAGAAAAACAAACAAACACTAAGAGCATATCTGATCCTTTTAAAGACATTTCTGTGGACACTAGGAGTAGAAAAAAACCTGAGGATGACCCACGACTGCACCCTTGCTGTAAGCAAAGGTTTCTAGACTAGACTCACGCTGAAATCCTGAAGTCTGGGGTTGGGGTGGGGGTGCAGGAGAAGCACCTGGGCCAGGCCTCGACCCAGGACACACCTGTCACATGCACCTGACACGTCACGGTCAGGGCAGCGTATGATTCCATTCATCGAAATCAGTAGGAAAAGAAAAGGAAAAAATTTAATAAAATAAACAAACAAAAAAAACACCAAACCAAAACAAAAACAGCAGCCCCCTCCTGCTTCCCAGCCAAGCTCCTGGGCTCTGTGCCCATCATCCCTCCTCGCCAGCAGTGTGTCCAGATCCCTGGTCTCTGGTGGGCCTGGGTTCATTTTGTTTTGCTGAGCAAGAGGGTCCTGGGGTTGTTGGATGAGCAGCAGCAGAAGGCTTCCTGTGGGGTTGGTCCAGTCTCGGGCTACCAGCGGCCTGCCCTCAGGGGCATGGGGCAGATGATGTGCCGTCAAGACCCAGGTCTGCACAGCTTGCTTGTTTCAACTCCATTATCGTGAGGTGATTTAAAGATACGTCAAGTGACGGACCACCAAAATAGAAGGTATCAGGGTCAGGAAGCAGAACAGTGGCCACTTGCTTGGTGCTGGGGCTGGCCACTCTCACCCACTACGTCATGTCCAGGGGACTGCGCCTGCCAGGAACTGGGTTGGGGGGGAAGAGGGGTAATGCAGAACCAGTCCTGGGTCCGCTTTTCTGCTGGTGACGGCAAACTAAAGGCAAAGAGAGGAAGGAAGAAAGCCGCACGGTCCCTCCAGGCAGAGTCCTCCTCGCCCAGGGCTGTGCAGCGTAGGCTCTGCAGTCTTAGGTTGCTTACTTGGCGACTGCACTCAGCAGCAGCAACTCCCAGGCGGAGGACAAGTTGGTGCGGCCCTTCTCGGCAGAGGTGGCCACAAAGGGAGAGGGAGGAGGGAGAAGCAGGTCTCCACTATTTCCACGTGGCCGACTGGGGAATGGAACGTGGTGGGATCATGTCCAGGAGGTACTCGCGCTGGCGGTCGACAGCTGAGGATGCCTTATGCACCGCCAGGCCTGGGCTGACAAAGGCAAGAGCCCCGCCTGCAACAGAGGGCATGCAGCACCGTGGGAGGTCAGAGAGCACACAGTACTGCGTGGTCAGCCCCGCTGCTGCCAGGACCCACCCAACATGACCCTGGTCACACCAGCTGTCACACACGATACACCCAGCTCAGCCCTCCCACTTGTGGGGCAACAGCCAGAGATCAATCACCTCTCCCATCCTTACTGTCTACACGAAGGGTGCCCCCCAAGGAGCTGCTGAGCCCTGCATACAAGCTGTCAAAAGGGATAGGCCACCCAACAGTAAAGCCAGTGACAATGAGCCCATGCTTAAGAGGATCTTTAGCAGCAAAACAAAACAAATCTCACCGAAGCATGAAGAGAAAATGGTGATGGGACACAGCATGTTCCCCAAAGAAAACAGACGTTCACACACACGTGGCACATGGCACCATAGTGCATCACACATTCATGGATAGAAAAATACAGGCCGTTACCCTCCCTTCTTGTATTTTCTACATTACTACACGAAGCCAAAGTTACTTTTATACTCAGAAAATAAGGAAATGATCCCATACACACACATACACATTCAGATTTTGGGCTTGGTGAGGAGGATGGTCCTTTCATCCCTGTTACAGAGAGCTTTGCTGTAGACAGGACCAGAGTCACCATCCTCTACAGGAGTTATTTCTGGTAGAGGTTAATGTATTTGTGGAAGAAGTGTCTTGTAGTCACATGATACAATTTAGGGCCTTTGCTCACTGGCCATGATGTCCCTGGCTTGCCCTGGAGCCATAGCTGTGACCCTAGGGGTGGGGGGACTGTGGATACCCCTTGACTCCAGTGAGGAGATACTGCTCTAATGACTCGTCTCTCATGCCACAGCTATCTCCTCTCTCACACCTGCAAGCTTCCCATCAACGCACATGTGGTATTACAGCCACCACAGCTGTGAAAACACCAACTTCCCACTGACCTCAAACATGGCCATGCTGACAGAGTAATGTCTGGCTATCAAGAGCCTGTCTGTATAGCACATGCAGATCACTGGCCTGGTGGTAGTTTATATTCCTAAACTCCAGCATGAAGGCCCGACGGGCAGAGCCCACTGCCCTCCACGTGCACTAGCCCTCTGGAATCTGTCTGCATGAGCTCACTTTGCCAGTTTTCACTGTGGTCTGTGTGTGATAGCGCCACAGGGCAGTCATCTGCTTGTGGGAATATGAAAGGATACAGAGACATACATGCTGCTTCTGCAACAATCTCTCTCATGTGCCTCTCCCTCCTTTTGTCCTGTTTCTCAGGGACACACAAGGAATATCTAACTCCCATCTAACTCTGGGACATAAATAAGAAAATAAACAGGACAGGCACAGACAGTGGTGCTGGTGACAGGAAGGCACCTATGATGGGTAAGGTGCTGACCTCAACCCTTCCCCTCAAGTCTAGAGGCCTTGCTGTCTGTCCCCTGGTCATGATCTCAGCCCTACCCCTGATGGCCCCCCCGCCTCATTCTGTTTTGCACAATATAGCACCAGACTGAAAGTGGGAAGCAAGCAGGCCCTTTGTGGCACTGGTGGGTGGACAAGAGACACCAGCTGTGTGTGAATGCAGCCATCACTGAAGACACCAGAACAAAGGAGTAGGCAGGAACTATGACAAGAAAGGCACTAGAGTTGGTACCACGAGCCCCTGTGCAGGGCTGGTAGGGAGTAGGTGGGGTGAGGTTAAACACAGCACTCACACAGCAAGGGCTGATACATTTAGGGGCATTGTGTACTTAGGGTGTCCTATCAGTAAACAGAGGAGCTAAAACTGAAGGTCTGGGTGAGAGGGCGAGGCAAAGACAGCCCTCCGTAGTAAACTTCCCCAGCCATGTGCACTGCCTCTCTGTGAAGAAAGGACAGAAGGGCTGGACAGGTCGGAACACCCACCTGCGCTCAGGGTTGCCTTCTTCCAGCCAGGGGTGGCACTGCCCTTGCCAGCACCCACAGCCCTCTCGGAATGCTTGCTGGTCCTAGTTGCGAGGGCCACAGCTGCATTCTGCAGTTTGGGCGACTGGCTGAAGGTATGCAGGACACTGCGGGATGTCGCGGTGGGGCCCCGGGACAGCTGGCTGGAGGCCTGAAGAGAGACAGGGAGTGCCGGCTCAGGGGGCAGGGGGACTGGAGCTGGGGGGGCCACCGAGGGCACGAAGCTTAGTGCAACCTCTCCTCGCTCTGTCCAACCGCTTCCCACCCATGCGGGGTCCCTAGAGTCCAAAACCAGACCAGTAGGTTACCAAGGGGAATCGGGACAGGGACAGATGGATGGACAGAGCAGGTGGCAGTCGCCGAGCTGGCCACGGTGGAGTGTGCGGGTTGGTTGGTGGTGCGGTGTGGGGCAGGTGGGCAGCAGCCCTGGACCTTAGTGCTGACCTGTAGCTCGGCCCCATTAGTCCAGTTGCGGGCCTCTCCTGAGCGGAACGCCGCCTTACGCCGGGGCTTAATGACCTACACAAATGGGGAGTTGAGATCAAGATCAACAGCATCCTATGTTGGCATGAATGGCCCATCCGCGCAGAATAGGCTGCTTCCTAAGGGAGAGGGGTGCCACCTACGGCTTGAGAAAGTGTGTTTAGAGATGGACAAACGGCTTCCAGGGAGATACAAATTGCTCACAGGTAGCTTCAGATCTACAAGGGGAAAGCAAAAGATAAAAAGCCCACAGAGGATTTGACTTCAAACTTGTCTCTCCTTAGTCTTGCCCAGATGTTTCCTACAGATGCTCGTTTTCTGCCTCACTGTGGTTCTCAGAAAAGTTCTTTTAGAGAAGAAGCACTTTTCAGCTCGCATGCTGCAAGTAAAGGCGAGGAAACTTCAAGAAACTGCAAATTAGTGTTTACACTGCCAAATGCCACCATTAAGTGCAATTTAAACACGCAGCTGACAATCAGGCAGATGAATGCTGAGTGGACGGGAGCATCCAGAACATGTCGTCTGCTAGGGGCAGTTCCCTGCTGAGGAGGTGCAGCCATGGGAGACCAGTGTGTCCCAACCACCAAAGGCCTAGGCTTACCTGCTTGAGCGCAGGGTGTGGCGCAGTGGTAGGCTCTGCCTTAGCCTGTGTGGGGCTGCCCTGCTGCAGCAGCCGCTGCTCCATCTCCTGCTCCTGCTGCAGCGCCTTCACAAAGGCAGCTTTCAGCCGGCTCGTGTGCTCCACCTTGAGTGCCCGCTTCTGGCTGGAGGTCATACAGGTCTCACACATGATGGCTCCACTCTTCTCCTCACGCCAACGGCACGTGAAGTCCGTCTTGCACTGTGCACACATGTAGGGCTCGCGGGACAACAGTGCTGTGGCAGCTGACACCTTGCCTGCTGGAAGGATGGGGTGTGCATCAGGGTGGGGGCACTGTGTAAGGGCCTCCAACCCAGGGCAGGCCAGTGCATCTACTTGGTGAATACATACTACAACTCCATGCCTAACACAGTGTTCTCCAGTCAACTTTATAACTAAGGCAAAGCTGAACAGTGGTGGGAAATGCCACGGGTGAAACCTCTGTGGTCTTTACTCTCCAAAACGCTCTAATCTCCCTCTCATGGGAGGGTACTTCCACCCACAAATGCAGCATGAAAACTCATGGCAGGGAGTGTCTAGCCCTCCCTGTGCGACACCTTCCCTGCCCTGCTGGCCCCCAAAGCCATCCTGGTCCCTCATCCCAGAGCTAGTTGTTAGAGTAGCTGAGCTGCCAGGAGCACACAGCCTAGGTCCAGACCCAGGCCTGGAACCAGGGGCCTTAAGTATTTATGGGGTGGTAGGGCAGGGAGGGTTCACCACCAAATCCATTAACCCACGAGGGCTGCCCAGGTATCTACTGCCCCAGGGCTGAAGCTAGATCAGGATCCTAGCAAACTGTGCTCAGGCCCCCCAGATCCTACCTGGGCCCAGCCTCTGGGAACCCTAGGTGCAACGCACCTCATGAGGGGGCAGGGGTGTGGAGGTCCCTGACCTGACAGCCAAGACACTAAGTGGGGGAAGGGACCCTGGCCTCCTTGACTTCCCTGGCCATACCTTATCACCCACACTTCCACCCACATGCTAGCTGGGCCTCATGCAGGACTACCTTGTGGGTGGAGGTTCTTCCCCTCTACATGTGCCATTTCACCCTTTCTGCTCCCAGAAGAGGCTTTGCCCTTGAGTTGAAGGAACAGGGGAAGTGCAGCTTCCCTGGGGTCTGAAATGCCTGGCAACACCGGGCATGAGAAGGCTCAACACCCTGACTTGTCTCAGGCAGAGGCGTCCTTGGTCTCAGCTTGGCCTCCTACCTTGGACCCAATTTCTCTCAGCCACTGCCTCTGTGTCCTTTCACTCCAAAGACCCCCCAGGACACAGGCACGCTCTACAGGTGGCTTCAGAAGAGGCAGGCACAGGGAGTCCACTTGACACTGGGCGTCCCTCCTGGAGGCACAGAGTGTCCGAGGCTCTGTGACCGCATCTGCCCTGCACCTGTCCAGAGCCCACAGGAAGTAATGGCCAGCCTCTCAAGGATGATCTTCCACATTCCCTCCACCCACCCACCGCCGTCACAGGCGTGCCCAGAGCAGGGGCTCCATGGTGAATCCACAAAGATACTTAACTCCACAGCAGGCAGGGGACTGAGGACAACCATGTGCCCCTGAGACTCCAACTCACAACAGTTCTGGACACAGTGGATGCTCCCACCTGCTATCCCCGCCCCCATCTGTTCCAACCTACCCAGGGCTCCCCTGCCTTAGAGTGGTTCTCTCACCCCACCCCAGGATTCCCTGTCCCACTTTGGCTCCCCACCCATTTTCAGGCCCCCTCTCCTCATCTCGGTCCCCAACCCTGAACCCTCACTCTCCCCAGGCCCCCACTTACCTTGCGTCTCCAGTAGGTTCTGTACCACTTCCTCCAGGCCCACCAGGTAGATGAACTCATTGTTGGCAGCACTGGGCAGGAAACTCATCTCAGGGGCAGGGGGCTTGGGTGGGGGGATTTCCAGCAGCGTCTTCTCCAGTTGTTTGCGTAGCGCAAGCTTGGCAGCTGCCTGTCGGCTGGCCGGGGAATCACCAGGAGCAGCCGCAGCCGTGGCACCTGTGGTGGTGGTGCTTGCCTGGGCAGAGGTGGCTGTCGTCCCTTTCAGTGATGCTGGAGAGGCCTTTTGGGAAAAGACACCTATCAGGAGTGTGCCCACACCAAGGTAGCCCCTAGGAGCTCCTGCCACCCCCACCTTCAGATCCCTCTAATTCCTAATGGAGTCATAAAACTAGTGAGCCCAAGGAAGCAGAATCAAACTTGTTCTCCTGTGGGATGATGCATCCTTTAGACAGATACAATGAATTACTGAGTTTTAACTGGTGATCAGTAAACTGCACCCATTTAAATACATAACACTGCATGTGCTTACCCATGTACCTCTAAGTTGCCCCCACCCACATCCCAAGTCCTCAGGCATGAATCCTCACAGGTGTGTGACAGGCACTTTCCTCCAACAATGGCATGCTGCAGCTTTGGCAAGGGGATTATTTGGAGATGGCCAACATCTGAGCTTGTATTCTTGCTGGGACATCAAAACTAGAGGAAGTAGTTCCAGGCCCAATCCCTGACCTCTAGCCCTCCTCCTCTCCATACTAGTTCATCTTCTTCATCTGAGTCCATGGTTGGCCCTCACAGTGTCTCCTTGTTCCAATCCACCCCCACCCCAGGACACCATCCACTACCACACTTTCCCTAAAACCCACAACTGGTCAGGGGAGTGCCTTTGGCTATAGGGATGAAAAACTCTTCTGAAAATCCAAGGAAAACATGTACACCATCCCCAGAAAGAGGAACAAGTCCAAAGATTTGCACACATTACATCCCAGGGCTTTCCCAGAGCCTCACTGCCCCCCCAGGCAGAAGCAAGACACCTGACACAGAGGATAATACCCACACCTAGGCAGCCCCAATGCCTCTGCCTCAGGCCAGCACCCACGCTCACAAGGCCTTCCTGCCCCACGGTAACAGACCTCACACCCTACTGGCCTGTCCCCTCTCACACTCAGAGTGTGCTGAAGCACGGAACAGGGTCTGCTCACAGAGGGTGTTGAGTGAGGTTCACACATGAATGAGGGTGCTGTGAACACTGGCAGGTTAGGCTCTGTCAAGACACCTTTGAGGTAACAAGCCTATGCATGTGTACCTGAATTCAAAGGACCAGGGCTGACCCAGAGATAGTCCACCCTGGTCCTGCTCCATCTGAGGAAGCTGAGATGGTGGGTTCCAGCTGCCATGACAAGAGCATAACACTCCAAAGAAAGAGATAGCAAACTCTCCAGTCAGCAAACCCAGCACCTGATCACGCCGCATGTCTGTCACATGCACTCCCCTACTGGCTGCTGTGGGTGGGAAGGGATGGACCACCCCATCTCTGAGACCGAGCACAAAGGTTGGGAAGCATGCTACTAAGAATAGATGCATTGGCTCTGAGGGAACATCTGCAGACATGCTTTCCTCTCGTACACCCAGCAGAACAAAGGGGTGCTCCGCCTAGAGGACTCGAGCCAAAGGAGTGGTGGGGGCTGGGGGGTGAGGAGCGGTGGGGGCTGGGGGTAAGGAGTGGTGGGAAGGAGATGGTGTGCCTTGTGGTGGCAGGGGGTGTCTCAAGCCCTGGACACTTCACTTTATCTACCCCCCAAAACCTTCCACACCCCACACCCAGCCCCTGCTGCTGGGCCTGAAATATGGGTGCCACCCTCCACAGACCAGTGAATACCCCCTCACCCCCAGGGTCAGCTGAACACCCCAATTCTCATTGCTGGGGACATCATCCTGACCTCCCCACCTGCTTTTTGTCTATCCCACACACAATGTTTTTGCTCAGGTGTGCATCTCACATCACCTCCAACTCCCCTTTTACCCATCTCATCTGCTTCCCACCTGGCTGCCAGAGGATGCTCCTCAATAGCAAATACACACACAAGCCCCCTGCTCACAATGGCCCCAGCTGTGAGAGCCCAGACAGATCCCACTGATCCCAGCACAGGCCCCCTGCCCCTCACCTGGGGGATGTTGACGAGCAGACCAGCACTGGGTACGTTGGCAACGCGGATCAGACCCTGCTGGATGATCCGCTGCCCCTGGATTTGCACGCTCGGCACGGATGCCCGGGGGGCCAGGAGCAGTGGGGGTGGCCCTGTCCCAGAATGCTGTCGGATATTGTGGATTTGCTGGAAGGGAGGGGATGGGGGAAACCAAGAAATCCATCTGAGACGATGGAGGACAATGGCTCTCAGCACCCATACCAGAGCCCCTCAGCAAGCCTTTAGGGCCCCCAGACCACCAAGCCCACCTGTTCGCTTACCTGGGCCCCACGGACGAGTGGGGGCATGACGACCTGGGTGTTGGGCTGTGGCCCTGGCTTCGTGGACACCTGCTGCCCACCACGGACCAGGGGTGGCGGGATGACACTGCCAGGCATGCGGGCTGATGAGGCCTGTGGATGACACCCCCAGTCCCGAGTTGACAGGTGCTTGTGGAAACACCAGCTGTGCATGGAAAAGTGCACGGTGTTTCTACTAGAAGGCTCAAGTGCCTAAAACACAGCAAAATGGGGAACAGATGCCAGCAGAGCTGTGTAGATCTCAGTCACTCAGTGTGAGGACAATCTTCACACTGGGCCAGTAGGATCCACCCCAGGGGCTTAGGAAGACTCTCTCAACCTTGGAAACAAGGCCTGGACACAGCACTAGATGCCCCTGACTACAAAGGATTTTGGTATCCTCCCACAGGGGAGGGTCTTCGGCTTTGTGGGGGTGGCCATGGTAACACTGCTACCATTGGCCCCCATCTCTCACATCAGCAGGCCAGCATTTGGGCAGCTGAAGGGAGGAACAGAGTGCCCTCAGCTCAAAGACTCATTGCATCAATCAGAGGAACAGGTGGCCCTGCCTAGACTTTAAAATGGCCCAGTGTGGGGACACTGACCTGTAATGACGGCTTGCCAGTAGGAATGTTCTGAGTGCCCCGCACAAGCGGGGGAGGGGTAGTGACAGAGCTTGAGGAGGAGCCAGTGGGCTGCAGAAGAGCAGAGAATATGAGGTGAGCAGAATCTAGACCTAAGTGAGTTGTTGGGATGGGGAAGGAGTCTCTAAGGGCAACGGATACTCTTGCTACCTGACACATCAGGCTCTTGGGGGCTTTGCTTCCAGCCCAGGAGATGGTCAAACCCACCACTCACTGACACAATATGCAGGCCAAGCACAACCAAGGGCAGAGATCCTCCCACCTCAGCACCACTTTCTGCTGCCCCAGGCTCTCTGGGGGGACAAAGGGACCAGGGGCCTAAGGAGAGTATTCCGATCCCAGTGAGGAGATGTGGGGCAAACATATTTGTCAGAGCTATGCACCCCACTGCAGAAGGACAATAGCTTGACTCACTCTTAAGTCTTCGAAAAGTATAATAGGAAAATTAAACAGAAAGAAAGGCTCCATTCTTTCCCTAGTAATAACATGGAAACATGGCAATCTGACTCTGCTACAACTTCTTCAATAAGATGAGTTTTGCTTCTTCTTAATCTTAACTCTTCTTCTAGTCACTTCACCCTTCATTCCCGTTCTTCAGGACTACATGTAGATGAACGGACACCAGCACAACACCCACTTCCCAACAGGGTGAGTCTGGGCATAAGGCAAGACCCCACACACTTGAGGTATCTGAGGAAACTCCAAAAGCAGAGCCTCAGAACCACCCCAAGTCATGTGAATAACTGCTGCCTCCTGTCCTCTCCCTACAGCAAATACATGTTCACAATCTGTTGCCTTCTATCACCTAAGACATGTTTGCATTTGATTTATTGAGACAGTTACTCAAGTAATGAAAGGGTGATGCCAGCACTAACAAGAAATCTTCCCAGCACGGGATACTAAAAATCCTATGAAATGAACCTGAAATTCTTTGAGTCACTTCTGCATTGAAAACTGCCATCTACATTGGACTGTTTAGAAACAGAGCTGAGAGCCCTGGACTCAGGAAAATACAAGAGTCTGGGGCAAAGCCCTGGCTGTGGCGCTTCATGTCCAGGGCACATAGTGGCTGCAAACCTCTCGTCCTTATCTGATACACCTGGCCCAGATGGACAGACACACAGAGAGAGGGGACATGGGAGCTAGTATCATGACCCTGCATGCCCCAGGGTCTGTGCTGCACCCATGCCCAGCCTGCCCACCTGAGGGAGACAGCCTTTCTGGAAACAGGCCCAGGAAAAACTTCTCAGAAACACACTTGTAACAGTAACCTTGAGACACCTATTTCCCATTCCCAAGATTAACAATGCTTTGGTCTAAAGAAAGTCAATGTAAAACACACAGATCCTGAATATCCTTTTAGATAATTCCAAATATGTACGTGAGTCTGCAAATTTCCATCCACATGCCACCTTGCCCCACATCACACTGGAACCCCTGAAAGTCACTAGGCTCCTTGGCCTTGAGACTGGAGGGCAGCAGGTCTGGGTAATACAGCAGCTAGTGCAGCTTGCCACACCACGCTCACCACAACTGTGGTTCTGAGCAGTGGCCCTGACCCCAGGGAGAATGGATACACAGGCCCACCTTCTGGGCAGTGGTTTCCTTCTGGATCTGACTCTGCCGCAACTTTTTTAATAAGACGAGTTTTGCTTCTTCTAATCTTAACTCTTCTTTTAGTTGCTTGATCATCCGTTCCCGTTCTTCAGGACTACTTTTCTGCAAGAGCCAAAAAAAGAAAAAGTTGAGGGAGGGTCAGGCAGCTCCAGTCAAGCACCAGAATCTGGGTGGGGCCAAGGCTCTTGACCAAGGATGTGCTAAGATCGGGGTTTCCCTGGAAGCAGTGTGGGCAAGGAGGGCTCACCATGGGGACCAGGTTTGCTGGTCCAATAGAGCCTGGTGGAACCACTGAGACTATGGTCCCCAACTGCCCTTCAGGTCTGGAATTGAACCCACACCTGTGGTTTCCAGCCAAACGTAAGACTGGCATACGAGTTGAACATTTACCTCAAGTAGATACTCTCCTTGGAGAGAACAATCATGGGAGAAAGAAGGGCTGCTTATGCACAGGGAGACAGCTCAGGGGGCAGGAGTGCATGGAGGGATGGACACAGGGAAGAGGTAACTATGGGGAGGAAGTGGAAGGGGAGCTGTTGCATTGTGGTAAACTGTGGTCAATATCATGAGACAAAGTATATGTGAACTGCTGTATGGAAAGTGAATTCGCTCTGTAAATCTTCACCCAAATCACAATTAAAAAAAAAAGAGCTTAAAAAAAAAAAAGACTCACCATGAGGACCTCTGTGCTCGTCTCCATCAGTGCCATCCTTGTTAGCCCATTCACCCGTGGGCTGGTGGGCTGCTCACTGTCTGAGAGCACAATCACATCTGGTGAGGGGGCTCTCCTCTCCACCTTCATATCACTGTAGACAGAGATAGTGGGCATCATGACAGCTTCAAAACCCAGGCCCTGAGGACCACAGACCAGTCTGTAGGCATACAATGAGCAAGTGCTTGCCCCAACCCTGACTGCCTGCCCCATCTGCCAGCCTCTGGCCACCTGTTCCCTGGACCGGCCTCCCCAAGGTCCCTATACTACTTGCCCTACTTGCTGCCCCCTGTCCACAAGCCTCTGGTCACTTGGCCTCCCAAAAGTCCCTACAGCACCTGCTGAATCCAAATCCCACAGTATCCTCTCCCACAACAGTGACACCAGAAAAGCTGGGCTTTAGCAGCAGAGGTTGTGTTTTGGTACACAAACAGCTTCCTCCTTTATGATGTGAGCCTGGTTCTAGTTCTGACTGTCAGACAGGGCTGCTGACTGCTGGATTGTACATCCCGAGGTAGGACCACCACTCTGCCATGTTGGAACCACTGAAGGTGACCCTGGCCCCGGAGTGAGCCCTCTCTCTGCCCCACCCTCAGCCAGCTGATGCATAGAGAGGATGGTGGAGATCACAAACATGCTCATGACTGAGAAATGGGGTGCAGCTCCTCCCACAGATCTGGACAGTCTTATCTCCCCTTCTCCCCTGACATGTTCTCATCAGCTAAGTGCTGCTCCCCTGCTGTCCTTCCCTCTCTACCCCAGTCACTTCCACCCTGAAGCCCCAGTTCAAACTACATCATTTTAGCCCTTATCTCCCCTTCCTGCTTTCTCTGCACCAACCTCCTGGCCCACAGCTCCCTCAGGGGGCCCTACAACAGCAGGGCCAGGGGAAAGGAAGCCTGGGAGAGTGCCATCCCACCCTCATTTCTTTGCTATTTGTCAGGACAAGTTTGCAAATGGCCACACATGGCTGAGGATCATATATGAGAGTTCCCATTGAGAATGTTCTGGGCTGACCTGTGAAGGCCCCTCCCATGACAGAGAACGTTCCAGGCTGAAGTGTTCACAGGCACCATGTGAACAACATATTACATACCATTTCATTTAACCTGAGCAGAAACACGCCTGTGACACCTCCTCTAAGATGCAGATACTTAGCAGATGGCAGCCATAGTACTGAGACCTTCATTTTAACACCGCTGCCCATAGGCCTCTCAGAAGTAGGGGTCCCCAAAACACACTTCTCCCCAAACAAGCGCTGTGTTTGCAGGCAACAGTCTCAAGTCTACTGAACATCAGGCATTTGGGCCTTGGTTCTTAGTATGTGAATGAATAACATGTCTCTAGGTGGCGCTGTGACCTTGAGAATAAACTTGGTCAAGCTTCCTGATAAAGTTAACTGGAGGAACAGCGGCAGCTGCTGAGTGAGGACAGGCTCAGGGTTAGAGTGATCAGAAAAGACCTTGAGTGTGTGCCCACAGCCAGTTCTTGAGTGCTATCTCCACTCCTGGAGTGACCAGGGATAGGCAAGGGCCAGTCTGGAGCGCTACTCCACACACTCCTGGCCCTTCTTCATCCAGAGCCACGAAGCAAATCACTTTCCACCCTAGCCCCTACTCAGCCTAAGCGAAAGAAACACGAAGGGAACAATTTCAAACCAAAGTCCCCTGATGAGGGTGACCAGCCACGTTACGGAGTCAGGCACAGATCACTTATATAGTAACCAGGTATCCCATCCCATCCAAATGTTGGTCTCCTCACTGGCTATACTGCCAGGTCAGAGAATCTGCTTTCAGGTGACCTCATGGGTCCCTTCCCAAGTCTCTGAGGGTGCACACCTAACTTGTCCACAGACATGGACGCAGCTTCCAGGTGCCTCCTAGGTCCCATCCCAGGTCTCTAAGCACACACCTGACTTCTTCACAAAGGACAGATGCAGTTTTCAGGTGACTCCATGGGTCCCCTCTCAGGTCTTTGAGAGCACACCTGAGTTCTTCACACAGCACAATGCCCCACAGGCCAGCGGGGTTCTCTATGAGGCTCCAATGCAGTTGCTGGACCCAGCTCAAAGATGACAAGTAGCCATTGGAGGAGCTACCCTTGGCCTGGGTGGGCCCCAGGTATTGCACATGGGCCAAGGAGTTGCTCAGGTAAAACTATGTCTAAGGTTACAACCTCAGAAAGGTTTTTAGGCCAGATGCACACTAACTGTAGCCTGAGAACAACGCTGCTCTCCACATATTCACTGTCTTGAGGTAGGTGCACACTTCTTCCAGAAAGATGCTCACAGAACGCAACTTGCCCAGGAAGTAGGGCAGGGTCCTGAGACTAGTCTGCCCAAAGGCTGCAGTGCACCAAAGTGACCACAGCAGACTGACCACAAGGTTCTCATTCAGGCCACGTCTTGGCCGAGGGTGATCAATAACCCTGTCCAGGAGATGATGTCACCTCCCACCAGAGCAGTTCAGCATCCAGGCAGCCAGCAGGGAGTGAACTTCCTGTATGCTAATCAGGCCACCAAAATGTCATGTGACAAAGGCATTTCCCTCCCTGGTCATGTGACCCTTTAACTGTGCCTTCCAATGTGAAAACCATGGCAACAGCCAGTTCCAGCCGGTTTGTGACATGCAGCCTTCATTTTGAGAAGTGAGGTGGGGCTCAGGTGCTGTCAGAAAATGGAGGCGCGTGCATCCCGCCCACCCGCCGGCCTGTGTGGCTGCAGCACTTCCTGTCACCCAGGCCAGGATGCAGCTCTGCTGTGCAGGGCAGTCGCCTGCCCCAGCTACCAGTGTCCAAACCCAGAAACTTTACCAAGTGCAACTTTTAAAGTGAAGGAACTTCAAAACCTCTCAGTGATGTTCCAGAAAGTTCTCCAAGTTCAGGGAAAGAACTGTCGCTTGAATGTCTGTCCCAAAATACAGTATGTGCGATGTAAAAAAAAACAAACAAACAAAAAAAAAAACCTTGGGCTAGGAGAGGCTGAGAGAGAGCAGAGCAAAGGAGATCCTGCCTTTGTAGCAGCCCCCACTCCCTGCCAAGGAGGCCGAGTTGTGCCTGCTATCTGGGCACCAGAACTCATGAGATTTGAGGGCACACTGACAAGCAAGCCCTCCAATACTGTGAGGTCATGTAGACTATTAGGATGAGAAAAGATTCTACTGCCCTACAACACAACACACCTGAAAGCTGACCAGGCTATCACCATATAAACATCCTCTGAACTCCCCCACTGCAGTGACTCACTGCAGCCCCACAGGCTGTAACCCTCAATTCCTGCCAGTAACTTCATGGGGGGGACTAGAATCATGAGCACCTCAGCACAAAGTTAAACCAACCACAAAGCAGACACAGCCACATCCACAGCTGGGGTGACCATTCTCTCTGTTGGCCCGACAGCACTCAGTGTGGTTTACATTCTGTATCCTCAGTCCCATGCCAGGGAAGAGGGTCATTGAGGGGGCCCAGACTATCCTTAGGGTCTGACTTTGTCTCATACATTGATGGCCAGGAATGATATACTCCCTTCTTTCCACCACCGACTCACCCATCCATCCATCCAACCATTCACATTTGCGGAAAATGTGCCAAAGAACTAGGTGGTGGAGACAAGCCCTAGATAAAACACATTATGTCCTTCAAGGTCACAGTCTACCTGGAAGGACAGACATACAGGTAAGTGTGGGGGGAGGGGCAGGCAGAAGGCAGGGAAGCATAAGATATGAGAGGTAGTCCTATAAAGAGGACCCAGTTTTGCCCAGGGGGGACTGGCCATGCTCTGACTGGCTGCTCAGGAGGGAGTCCACAGATTCTTCAGAACATAAATCTTGGCTGCTCAGAAGCACCTCCTTGGGTACAGACTCATCCAGGACTCATAGATGCTACACAGGGTGGAGCATGGATGGCCCCAAGAAGGGCTTCAAGTGTGCCTCTCCAGCCCCCAAGTGTTCAGGAACATTCCCAGGATGACCAGAGACCAGGCCAGGGCCACCTCAAAGCCCTGGCCTGACACACGTCATTGTGTGCTGGGCCTGGGCCTGCTCCCTCTCCATCTTGCTTCCTGCCAGCCTTGGGAGAGATGTCCCTGTCAGGCCTGGACCTAAAATGCAGCTGAAAGAACCAGAGAATTCCAGAGCTTCATGAAGTTCTGCCTCTTGAAAGACCAGGATTCCCCCTTGCATGGTTCCCACGCTGCACAGCAAGGCTCCAAGTTCCTGCCTAGCCACCTCCAGGAGACTCAGAGCTTCCAATAGACCACTACCACCAAGCCAAGAGGCTGGGCAGGGTTTCTCACTAAGGCTGAAGTATTCAGCTTTGCCACACACAAGCATGTGGTGGTGCTGAACTTGGGCCACAGTGCTGCCACCACTGCCCATCAAGGGGCTGTGAAGGACCCGACAAGATGAAGCCACTCCACAGTGAGTGAAAGAAACACGGCCTGCTCTAGCCTTTCAGGCGAAGAGGGAAGCTTCCCAGTGAGCCTCCACCTGGCAGATCAGAGGCCAGAGTCTCCTGTACAAAAGGCTGGGATAAGCCCACATCCCAATCAGATTAAACAGATGACCACCACCTTCCAGAGCCATGACAGCCCGGGCTGAACTGTGGGGGCCTTGGGCAGCCCAGGAATTAGCACAGCAGGAATATCCTCCTTTAGTGGTAGTGTCAAAAAGGGGTGGGGTCTACCCCTTGCTGCCCCAATGAGCATGAGGAGAGTGATCCCCCTGACACACATACACGCACACGCGTGCTCACCCTACTGGTGCCTTGCCACACCAGGGTCACCTTCAGAATTTCGTGAATTCGAAGTAAGCTCTTCCTGGGTCCTCAGCACCAGGTAGTGTAGTCCTGCAGTTCACTGTTCAGGAATTCCTATCACCACACCTCAGTGATCAGATCTTCTAGTGACCAGGAGGGGTTGGACATTACCCTCACAGGTGATTTCAACAGAAAGCACACACTTGGCACATGTTGAGTGACCGATAAACAGGCTGCCCAAGGTGACATGGAGACTCACGACTCCCTGAGGCAGGGCTGTGTTAATTCTGCTTGCTGCCATGCTCCACCCTCCTTGCACAGAAGGGAAGATCAAGTTCCTCT